GGATGGTTGTAGATAATGAAAACAAGTTCTTATCACAGCGGAGTTTTCCAAAGGTAAATCGATGGGAAACATCAGTTATTGAGCTGAGTGGGAAAATATGTCGTGTTTGTAGTAGAGGCTTTGTTGAATTTCGATGGATTTCAATGTAGATGGCTATGATAACGCCAAGATTCGAGGTAAATGACAACGGTGACATTAGCGAATTAGTGTTGTCTGCGAAAGGTGTTGAGAAGGAATTAAGACTTCCACTGGACGTAAAGTGAGTGCTCGCGTAATTTTTTGACTCAGCATCTATATATCGCGTGTTCCGAGTCATTTCGTGTATGATATATTTGTCAGAACGCCTAATGTTTGGTTTATTATCATATTTGCCCTGAAAGAACTTCTCTTGAATCCAACGATAAATTGGAAGTTAAAATATGGAATGATGTAGTTCCTGTCTATGATTGTGGGAAGGAAGCATCGACGTGGATAAGTTCATTCCTGGGTACTTCTGCAACGTTAGTCGTTAAACCGGATGAACATGTAAGATCTATTACAAAGAATCTTCCATCCCCTAACGAACTTGCATACCGACCGCAGGTATGTCATGAAGCCAAAATTATTATGAAACATCTGTATTCTGCGTGATTTATTAATTGGTCACTCTATTAGGTTGCGTTTGCAGATTCCTTCCCCTTCCTTCTCATTTCAGAGGAGTCGTTGACAGATCTTAATAGTCGGCTAGATTCACCGGTGAATATGCGTAACTTTAGGCCAAATATAGTAGTGAAAGGATGTAATGCTCCCTACGAAGAGGATACATGGAAGGAAATAGTAATTGGAGAGGATAGAGAAAATATTTTCTACGTTACGTGTAGATCCACTAGATGCACTGGTAAGTTTCGTTTATCTCGCTCATCAAACTTGTTTCAGCCGAGATTCATACGCGTTTTTTGGACTCCATGTAGTGCCCAATGTGAATCCAGATACTGGTGAAAGAAAGAGTAACCAGCCATTGAAGACGCTAATGTCTTATCGTAGGGTGGACAAAGGCGCGATTTACAAAGCTTGCTTTGGTAAGTTTCAAGTAATAATACAGCGAATTTTAATTGAAACAATGACTTATAGAGTGTAACCACGATTATAGGAATGAACGTTCTCCACTCGAAACCTGGTGAGTGTTACACAACTATAGATGAATTAGGTATCGTTCTCGATTAATAACGTTCCGTTTACGATTGTAGGCACTTTGATAAGTATTGGTGATCAGATTGAGATAATTTCGACTGGAGAACATATGCGTGAACCAGGCTAGACGCTAGTAAACGGACTATTCTAAATCACAAAAAACGGGTGTTACAATTTCCACGTACAGCCTTAGTGTGATACTGTATGAGTCATTTGCTGCGCACATATTATTCTGCCATATTTTGTCATTCTTGCGTAAATCAACAGGCTCTTGGCCCGACAAATGACAACTCGCATCGTTATCTCATTGACCGACTTTGAATAGTATTGGAGATATGGTTGCACTGCATGTCGATTTTTGGAAATCAATCTCATTAAAGAAGGGACTAAATTTGGAACTTTAATATACGCAAAACTGCGGTTCAACAACTGCGGGCCAAGGAATAACCTTCCGTAATTAGGTTATACGACTGCGGTTGACTGCGGAAAAAAACTGTATATAGAGGCGGCCACGGAGACAGACCGTCGCTTAACACTCGATTCCCCGAGCTAAAAAAAATCCAACTACACTGTAAATAACTCCTAATTAGATATATCGTAAAAGACTACTTGCATATATTGTAAAAACACTCTCGTCATCAACTTAATCTAATAATGGAGCTCCCTTCTCAAACTTCAAACGTCAATCCCGACTGGGAAGAAATTAACGAATGGGATTCTGACGATGAATTTTCTAAAAACTATACTATTACTTCGGTCCACCACCTCACCGTCCTTGACGATGTAGATATATCTGAAGATGAGGCGTATGAATGCATTTCGGCTCATTCCAAGCCAACGTTCGCCCAAGTTGTCAAATCACCTTCAGACAAACACAATATCTCCGATACGGAAGCGTCTGGTTCAAAGAGAAATAAGAGTCATAGACGCAAGTCGTCTCGATACAACAGAATAAGAGATTCCAAAGAGAAAGCTCTCTCTGAACCTGAAGATTTCGGAGGGTATGGTGATGATGGTAAAATAGCTGGATCCAGCAAATCAAATGGAAGGAGACGAATGACAGATAAAGCACGTGGATTGAAGCTATACAAGCAAATACTTACTCCAGAAGTACTTCCCTATTCCGCCGGTGATACAAACAGAGATAAGGACTTCTGCTATTATAAGGCCTGCAAGAAGGTTGTGAGTGGTTCTAAAAAAGATACAAGCTGCAAACCCTCCAGAAGGGATAATAAGAAGTTGGCAAATGAATTTTAAAAATGGATATCGCGAGGATTACAAATACATGCGCCCGACTTGTAATTTTAATATAATTCATTGAACACGTTTGCTTAACTGTACTACTATTATTTACTACCCTATCTTTCTTAAGCGATAGTGTACGTATTGTCTTCCCTTTGACAACCGGATAAGTAGATATTAATTAGACATGCATAAACCGCTTTTACTCAGGAAGATTATTAACATTCCAAGTGGTTTTGTTGTAGTGCGTGGAATAATCTTGAATAAATTCACAAAACAGTTCTCACAAACGTAATCAAATGCAAAAGACGTATCCATCCATGGGATGAAATTTTTAGACGAGACAACACAAGACAATGACATTGTTGAAAATTACAACGAAACCAAAGGAAAAGAAACAATGAATGCTATAATTCAGGCTTATTATTTATATACAAGCTCATCATTATTTATTTATCGAACTGCTAATCGAAATCATTGGCGTATTAAACTACTACTTCTTTGGTCCCCAAACCATCTCCGGTCTATAAGTCTTTCCATCATCTCTGTGTATCCAATGATCAGCTTTGGGATCGACCTTACGTTTTGGTTGCAAATGCTCCCGTTGCTTTTTCTTCTCCGCTGTTGATATCTTGTAGTGCTTGTCACGTGCCTCGATCAATTTCGGATCAACTTGCGACTCTTCCACGATCGACATCATTAATTTTGGAGGCCCTACAAAATGGATTTGTCAGAGATGACGCTATTTAATGACACTAAATAAGAAGATTGTGTGAAATAAATAAATCGGGATAGAACGTACCGAATGGCAACTCATCGCCACGATCAACTTGCCAGAAATGCCAGGTCTATAAAAAAATATCACGTTTTAATTAGCCACATAGCGTCTAACATTCCTTTCTCACATGCATTTACACTTCACCTTTCCATATGTATCGATCAGTTCCTCCATATATTTCATCTCGGCGTTATCCCCAATAGTCTTTGGGACACCTGCTGCTAGTGGACAAATAAGGACGCCAGATTTAACTTCCATGACATGCGAATGCCAAAACAGCTTTTCATCGTCAGGCAATTCTGTAAATAAAGGGATTAACGTTAAAAATAATTGAAAATTTTCCTAGGATGATGCGCACATATGTACATACTGTCGAACAAATCAGCCGAAATGATGTATTCAACTCCAATAAGTCGAGCATCGTCAGCATCGGAATCGTAGATAACGCACTGACGGACTTGTTCTTTCAAATGACTGCAATAATGGTGGGCTTTCACTTGTCGGCTTATATCATCGCTAAATAAAAAAGATTATTTGTACAGTCAATTTTCATGTTCCAAATTCCCTCCTTCTTTTTGTCTAACATTCCGCGTCTTTGGTCTTTGCTCGCCTGTAAAAATGATAGCCCTGAACGTGTTCATGAATCTTGTTAAGAGGTTTAAAGGTCTGGATGGACGATGACGCTTGCTCCATAGCCTTTGTTGCAAGGCTTACTGGGTCACCCGGTGGTTCTGGATGCTGTCATTGGAGAATTCAATTTAGAAGCGATTCTGGTACATTTTTTATACAAGTCCCCGATTATTCTAGCACACCTGACTCATATTTGGTAAAAGAAAAGTCAATTCGTTACTTTACTATTGTGATTAAAAATTTTTGGCGAGGCATTTAAATATTTAATTGAATATCCCACGCTTCTATGTATGATACATAAATGATGCAAAGTTTGAGCAATCTGTCATCAACAAGACGTATGCAATATTTATCTCATCTAAATCGGAATGGCATAAACACTTGATGTCATTTTAACGTATTAGAGCCATGAAGAGACATCTTAAGCGATTATGACAAGATCAATTAGTACCATGTTCAAAATATCATTCCAATAAATAATTGCTAGTTTTGCTCTTCTCTTCATTCTATCACACTATCACCACAATGATTAGATTTCCACCGCTTACTGTACCCTCGTTCTTTCATCCAATTATCGAGGCATGGGTAATCTGGCTAACAACTACGTTCATCTCTATTCCAGCTGCCTTCTTTTACATGTTTGTTGATGCTCCATCTGCATTGGTTCGTTGCCTTTTGGCATCAGAACCAAAATGCATCGTAATCACTGGGGCGAGGTGAATTTACCATTTCAATTACATGATCCCCGGCTTATGTAAATGAACGAGTTTCATTGCAACTTCTATATATTTACTACAGTTCTGGAATCGGAACTAGTCTTGCTCTCGCCTATGCAAAACCAGGTGTCACTATTGGATTATTGGGTCGCGATGGTATGTTTGAATGAGTAGTCATTGTTTGCACAATATACGTTTACTGTAACTCATATATTTATACAATGCACAGCGGGTAAGCCAGAAGTTCTTTCTCCAAACCACTTCACGATAAATCACAATATCTACAATCGTCTTGTCAATCTATTACAGAATCCCTAAAAAAGGTCGCAGAAGCTGTAAACTCCCGTTGGACGTCGGCAGAGATTTTAGTTTGCGACGTAGCCGATACTGATAAACTTGCCCAAACCCTCAAAGAGTTTGATGATCGACATAATATTGACTTGCTGTTTGCTAATGCTGGTAAGGTTATGGCAACAGAGGCATAAATTTCCCATATTAGTATCTCACTTTGTATTGTGTAGGCCAATTGGGATATACGATTGATACGGACAAGGAGTGGGAGGACCAGTGGGATCGGATTATAGATGTCAACTTTGTTGGCGCGGTAGCAACTGCAATGACTGGTTTCAAACTGATGGAAAAACGCAAGAACAGACGTGGCGGACAGATTGCGAGTGAGTAATGATTCGAATCGTGTATCCGTAAATTCTTACTTAATAATTCGTTGCGTTATATGTTTGTACATATATAAACTAACCTCTACTCACCCCTTTCCGTATAAAAATTATTCGATATAGTTACATCGTCAATATCTGGCTACTTTTTCATGCCCCAGACGGCCTACTACAACGCGACAAAAGCCGCTTTGATCTCTTTTGGTCGGGATCTGCGGTACATTGGCCGCCAACATAACATCAAAGTGACGGTAATCACGCCTGGTACGATTGATACCCGCATGACAACTGATCCCCATCAACCAGTTTCCCTGCCTAGTTGGTTACTGACCAAACCTGAGACGTTGGCACAAATAATTAAGCGACGACTGTCTTACAATCCCGCAACTATTGCGTATCCATTTTCGGAGCATTTGGTTTCATGGGTTACTCAAAGTTTACCGACAGCTTTGTTGGATAACGTTACGTGGTTGGTTGGGAAAGTTTCATCCTCTTTCAGTCAGACTGGGAGTAGAGGATTTAGCTAAGCTGTCGTAGAAGATCTAGTACATTTATATAAAAAGCATCTAGTCCTGAATAATAAAACAAGTTCCTCGAGCGAACGCATACAGAGCCTTACATAAATAAATTGCTTTACGTACCATTGTGAAAAATAATCAACCCCAAATGAAGGATAATAATAATAGACAAGCAAAAAGAAGGAAAAATATAGTCGTCATTTCGTGTATCTTGCGCTTGGGTTTGGCGGCCTGGCAACACGTCCAATTTTAATAAACGGTATATTTTGTATAAAGCGCATCTTAATATCTTTGTCATCGTGATTTAAACGCAATCCTCCAGCAACCATCAAGTATAATATAGAAGTGCCAATTAATTGCTGGTTTTCTTTTTATACCTAGGCAATATCAATAACGATAAGTCTCGCTTTCTCTGATTACAAAAGATTTAAATACTAGTTGCTGAATGACTACGAAGCCTCTCATCATATTATGAAGTTCACATGATATAATCTTCCTCCAACGGCATAAAAGTCTCACTTATATTAATAGTATATCCGAAGGCGTAGAACGATCCCCAAATTTTGTTAGTTCAAAATCAAAAGATATTAATTGATCACAAATGCCGTGTGATTATTATTCCACACGAGGAAACTCAACCAACAAATTAATAAAGACTGTACGTTTGTCTATTCTTCCTACGATTATCGCGATATTTCCACCGATCGTATTGTTTGCTGATTAAATAGTTTCACGGCAAATTCCGGTACAAATCGGACCTAGCAATTAAAAGTTCCCTATTCACGCGACTTTTTTCTCAAGCCATCAGTAACTTTCGCCTTTAAGAAATATCTTTTAAAAACGCCTCATGCAAATTAGCGGCGCGATGGGAAAACATTCGACATTTTCTTTCTATTCCCGTCATGGGATGACGAATGTTCTTGATTATATATACCCATTTAGAGTGGGAATGCTGCGTATTTATGACGAAAACCAAAACAAACAGTTCATTCATACGTAACAGTAGTTATCAACAGAAACGTGTGCGAGTTGGATCGACTGTCTCTGAGCAATTCTGAGACTACCATTTCGTATATTACTGTAATTAGCAATTTTCGATGGTAATCACCGAGTCTCGAGTCACGGGTCAAAATTTAAAAATACGGTTGGTCAGAATTGTCGTCAGGGCAACAAGCAATAAATTCACTTTATCCTGTCAATGACGAAAGCAGCAGAAACGGCAACGTTCCTTGGTATCATTGGAACAGTGTACCTTTTGTTCTTATTTCAAATTCTGCCTAGTTCAGAGAAAATACGGATCGATATCCTGCCTGTGGTATGGACGTCCTTTGAGAAGAGATACTTGTGTTGACTGTAGTGGAAAATGTATTCTTGTGCGTTCAACGGTCTTTATGCTCTAATTTCTCTAGTTACCGTGGTGGGCTCTAGTGTCATTTGGAGCATATTCATTGGGCAATATTGGATATCATGTATACAGGTTTAAGGATTGTGAAGATGCGTATCATGAATTAATGGCTGTGAGTATAAACGTGCTGATTTAAATGATGATTAATGTGCTATGCATTATATCGTGGTCGTTATATGCAGGGTGTTTGTTGATCGAAAGACTAACTCGCGATTTTCTCTTAGCAAATTAACGAAGCAAAGAAAAGTCTCGCAACACAAGGCATAAGTGTAGATTAAATGACAATAGAGAAATTTAATTTAATGAGAGTATTGATTGAACGTGTATATGCTTAACGTGCATGTGTAATTGATCCACCAAAGTTTGAATTAAAACGACTATGGATCACTTAATTTATATGCTATCAGTGTCAACGTCACCTTCCCCTGATACAGTCTCTATCTGACTGACATCATTCTAGTATCTGCCTGAATTTCTCTTGGATTTCATTATAAAGCTTCTGGTATCTCTCTCGAAGAACTTGTTCGCCGTCGGCGGGATCCTAGCAATAATGATAACATAAGTGAGCAAAGGACGATAAAGTAATACATTAAAAGTAGAATACGAACTGTAACAATTCATATCCCGTCATCGGTTTGTCACTTACCTCGAATTTCATTGAAGTCAATTTATACAATAATTCACCCATACTATCTTTAATCTTGGCCCATGTTATTTCATTATTTGTCACTTCAACTGCGTTTGTGGCTGCTGTATAGAAACCGATCATATTCTTAAGGAGCCAAGTCGTCTAATATGTGATGAGTGAGCATTAGCACTGAGGAGCTCAGCAGCATGTACAACAGACTCGAGTTATACAATATGAATTACCTTATAGAATGGACAATATCGATCATAAGTAGAATATCCATTCTGTTGAAGAAAATCGTCTTTGATAATCTTTGCAATCTCGAGAGTAATTTTATCAGATTCTCCAAGAGCACTCTACCGAAAGAGATAGAGTTGTAAAAAAGAAGAAAAGACCCCCCCCCCTCCCCCTCTCCAAGATTTCCAACGTCTATAATATACATCAATCACCAACCTTTCCAACAAGTTGCACAATTTCTGATAGATCCTCTTCCTTTTGCAAAATCTCCTTTGTCTTATCTCTCAGCGCAATAAAATCAGGTTCCGCATTCTCATAGTATGGTTCAAGCACTTTACCATACTTTGAAAAGCTTATCGACCAATTGACAGAAGGGAAATGTTTTCTTTGCGCAAGCTTCTTGTCTAGACCCCAAAATACTTGTACGATACCCAGTGTTGCAGCTGTTACCGGATCCGAAAAATCACCACCAGGCGGTGAGACACTAATGAACAGAACAGGAAGAAGGAGCGAAAGGATATTGATGTAAGGACCGTGGTTTATTGACGTCAATAAAGATTATTTGACGTGACGACATGCTATTAATTGACAATCAAAGGATACGCTCCAACGACTGTAACGCTGCCTTCGCGTTTAGGATTTCCTAAACATGTCACTTTGCCTGCTCTCTCGTAGAATGATGCCAAACGCGCACCGAGATATGCCGGATAACCACTATCTACAGTTCACAAATATAATCATGATAAGCATAGGCTCCAAGTTGTCGATCGCAAAACATCAACTAATTATTAGCCATTCTCTTATTTACCCGCAGGCATTTCTGCCAATCGCCCGGAAATTTCACGAAGCGCTTCAGCCCATCTGGAAGTAGAATCTGCCATCATAGCAACGTTTTTCCCTTGATCTCGGAAATATTCCGACAGCGTAATTCCTATTATTTTTTAAAGATAAAATTTTATTTTATTTTAAACGAACACATGATGTTGGAATGTTAGTGTCCATAGATAACAGTGGGTATTTAAATCATGTTGATTGTCTAGCTAAAACACAGAGACGAGATGAGAATAGGCAATCGCTCACCGGTATAGATAGAAGCCTCTCGAGCTGCCACAGGCATGTTGGATGTATTTGCTACTAATATAGTACGTTTCATAATTGCCTCTTGGCGATCCTCTACGGTGATGGAAAGCTTGTTTACACAAGGAGTAGAATAATGATTTAGACAACCAAGTTACGCGATATAAAAATATATATAATCTTGATTGTATTGGACTGTAATATAAAGGCTTACCTCTGGGAAGTCCATTAACACCTCGGCCATTTCGTTTCCACGTTCTCCGCCTATGACAAAAATTGCATGTATCTTGTTATTATTTAGCATAATTCACCTCCCACTCAAATATTCTTATTTCATCACATACTGTGATTTCTAGCTATTACTGCCCCGCGTATCACTCACATCCTACATAGACAATAATATCCGAATTCGAGTACTTCGATAATGACTGTGAAATCACAGTCTTTCCACATCCGAACGCTCCTGGAATGGCTGTTGTTCCTCCTTGTACACATCTTGAAATAGGGGGACGGTAATCAAGTTCGAAAGCAATAACAAATATAAAAGAGCCCGTAAGATATATATGCCTAGTTCCAACGCGTACTAATCTCCCTCTAACGGTTTCTCAAATGTAAAAAGCAACCCTTACGGAAATAGAGCGTCCAATACACGCTGGCCGGTGAGAAGAGGATAATTTGCGGAAAGCTTTTCGGCAGCAGGCCGTGGTGATCGCACAGGCCACAACTGCATCATTGTAAATTTCGATTTTTGTCCTTCGAATTCCGTCTCCAGGACAACGTCCTAAGAAGCGGAGTATAAACATTTTTTTATCATTTAATTTCCACATGAGTCTATAGTCCCATGCACTAGCTAATTTCTATTCGAGATACCGATTCGTTCGTAGCACGCCATCAATCGCAGCATACCTGAAGAGTGTAACTTCCCGCTTCAGCTATGTGTGTGATGGTGCCAAGTGCTTTAGGTGGCAACAAAATAGCGTGTTGATTCACCAGCGAGTTCTCATATACCATGCCATAGATGTCTCCACCTGTAATGTGATCTCCAACCTACTCGTGAAAGAGTTATAATATAAATCAGACAGACAGACAGACAGGCAGTAACATAAAAAAAATTCTGCCTCCGTACCTTAAAGTTTGTTGGCTTGAAATCCCAGGCAAGGTTTTGGTCTAATGCAGGTGTTGCAATGCCGCGAGGGATGTAAATACTTTTAGAAATATCTCTAATAGCCTATGGTAAAAATAACCGTCATCCATTAATGTGAGACTTTAAACGTAACTGTCATCCGTGATTACTGATCCCTAATACTTTAAGTTAAATAAAACTAACCTTAAGCGGTCTTTGAATCCCATCATAAATATTGGACATCAATCCAGGGCCAAGCTCGACTGATAATGGTTTTCCGGTCCTCAACACTGGATCACCAACAGTTAACCCGGCTTTTTATTTTTCGGGTTGAAATGATAGTAACAACGTTAGTAGGTCTGATCGTTTTGGCGAGTAATGAATAAGAAAGAAACAGACAATGATCGAACGATTTAGTGAGCAAACGTGTCATCAAAGCAGTGTTTATTACCTGTCTCCTCATATACTTGGATAGTCGCTTTATCCCCATCAATACGAATAACTTCACCGACTAATTCTTGATGACCTACGCGTACCTGCCGCCAGAATAAGTCTTATTAGCCTGCAAAACTTTAAAGCACAAAAAATGAGAATACAAATTCGGCATACCAATTCATACATAGCTGACCCATTCATCTGTTCAGCGATTACAACTGTGAAATTAATCGGCAGGGAAATGTCATCATGCGATATGAGAAAAAGCATAGAATGATAGCAAGAAGCAAGACAGGCCTTGTACGACAGCATTACCTGGCCCTGACACGGCAAATACGTAGCCATAGTCACTCTCTTTTTCGTCGTCTCCGAGTTTTGATATTTCTGCCTTTGCTCGTTCTAATGCTCCTGCCTGTAAAGTTCAGCGAACGGGGGAGGGGGTGAAGCGTATATGCATAAGATGAAGAGATTAGTAAAAATATGTGAGTCACGATAACAGACATGCCGTTGACTAAGAGTACCATGTTTTATTGTATGTGGTTGATTCTATGTGAGAAGAATGCTTATGCTAGTTAATCGGAAAGCTTTTGATGATGGGATTGATCTGCGATGCAATTTCATCTTAATCTAATCAAACTGTAACCATTAATCGGTGATCAAATTCGCCACACGACTTCAAAAGTCATCGAAAACCGATCGAGAAGATGATTTGTTGGATATCAATACTTTTAACTTTTAACGCAAATGTCAGAAAACTCTCCGTTTTCAATTAATCCTTTTTGCTTTGGATTATTGCTAGTCTCTTTTCAATAAATCAATAAACTTTGCTCGTATTGACCACGTCAAATTAGGCAATCTTTGATTTATTCTTTAAACTCGGCGGGTAATTTAAACGATTAAAAATTAAAATTATAAAAATGATATGATATACATACTGCACTCGGTTACGCTAAATAGATTTGACTTTCGTGGTTACATGTCTTCGCATTTGTATTTTTTTTTATTTGCTTTGCGAGGACGATACGTTGTTTTCGTTTTTTGTTGCATCTGTAACCAGAGACTTTCGTTTGCCTACACGAGCATGATAACCTCTTTCATGCAAACAGTAATTTCACTTAACCGCTTCGGCAAAAACGTAACTTAACTCACACTGTAAATTGTGCAACTGTTTTCTGTTTTTCTTGGTTACATGCACCCCGGTATACTGGACGGTATCCCTTTATTAATTCGAACGTATACTGGGCCGTCCACTTCTTTGTTTACTCTCAACTGCATTTTTCACTATTAAACTCTTTGATGACGTTTCGGCCTATCATATCTGGGGATTCCTAGCGTTTTACTAATTTCCGCTTGTTTATATCACTCTTTTGTAAGCTTCAATAATCTCCACGCGTAATAACAGACAGTTCTTGCGTTTTTACCATTTTGAGATAAAGCAGGGGTTTTTCGAATAACTTTTTTAATTTGCGAAAGTAGTACCTAATTTGAATCACGGCATCACAATACTTTAAGGATTATATACGTTATTAATATTAATATATGTTATAATCACCAAGATTTTTGGGCATGTTCCCAGTTGTCTAGTTGTGTCGTGATAAAGAGAAAACGTGTCAGTACACACGGACAGCGCGCCTGCGCAATCATTTCTCCTCTGTCTATTAAAATAGAAACAATCGATTTTGGTACCAATTTTAACTCTGCTTCTCGAGTGCGCGTCTTTATACACAATAAAAAATATTTTTAAGTCAAATAAAGTAACGGTACTCGCTAACAATTTGTAAAAATGCTAAAGTTGCTATAATTGAACATACGACCGACATTTACAGAATCTCTGAATCATCTTATCGTTATCGTTCTGATTCTCTAAAAGTACTATAAGTTTAAAGGTACAATTAAGAGAAATCCTGCAACAGCCTTTCTCAAGAGATAGAAACATGTATGGGGTAGGGCCAAACTATGTCGTATTAGTGCTAACATGCATGATTATTTTCACTATTGGTGTACATTGATATGTAAACTTTTGAGTTTGCTTATGCATGAATTCATTCAAAGGGAGATGAATAAATAAACCGTTACGCAGAAAATGTTAATAATGCATGTAGAAGGAGTGCATTTAGGAAGAGTTCACTGTACCAATTAGTTCTTTTATTTCCTCTTCGGCTAAAATATTGTTACCATTCTACAATATCTGCGTTATGACAAACTTTCTACGGAATTCGTAGCTGTAAACGATATGGTATTATAATGTAAGTAAATCTTATTATAGAGTTCAAGCGAATGCATATCGATATGGTGCATTCGCAAAAATAGATGATCGTCGGGAAATCATCCTCAAAGAAATTGGGCCACTTTATGGTAATCATCCCCATTTCACATATCACCCCCAAATCTAAGCGACCCAATTATTGTTGTGATGATCGACAAGGATTTTAGGATACGGATTTGAGATTTCGGTGACCTCGCTTGCATCGTGCTACCGAACTTCTAACCGCTGTTGTGAAAAACTTTACTATTACACTTGAGATCAGGAAAACGGCACAGGGTAGGTAGCATCTCCAAGTATATATCCCACACCAAATATCAATTTCGACCCCAAATCACCAACTACCCATTTTCATAGATCAGCCGTCATATGCACTTCGCAGATTATCAATTGAAACATGATCACATGCATGAACATTCACAATGTAATGCGCGCATTTACAATGCGCCTCCTCTTTTCGTAAAAAAAATCCAAGAAATGGCAGAGTTGACTAACTTTGAACGTGGAGTCATTTTCGGTTGGGACATCGAATGCAAAGTTGAAAACAGAAACTGGTCAAATCAATGTGATGGAAGATCACCAATACTCACGATAGGGACAAGTAGCATGTTGTAGGATTGTTTGGTCAAATCGTCAATATTCTGTTGAATAAATTCACGTATAAGCAAAAATTCAAAAGTTACATATGGAATTATGCATGATCGACGAAAACTTTAAGGGGCGGTCGTCGGCGTATCAGGGTAGGGACTCAATTAAGAGTAGCCCGAAATTTCGTAACACAATCATTACTACGCCTAATCGCATGTCAAAGACTTTAACGGATTCTAAAAAAGAATACTAATTTAAACAGCTCTCGGTACGATCCGTAATGTTACGCATTTGTTTTTCTAGATCTGTTTAATGCTGACTATAATAGCAATTTTCTTCAATTCGAAATAACATCTTATTTCGGTAACATCACGTAGACAATGGGAGTCACATCTCTGCAACTCTTAAAGCCGCTTATTTCAAGCCCATACATGTAACACATCTTTCTATTTATTGCGTATCCTTATCCAATGTCCAAAAAATGTGTGCTGGTATTTGCTTCAGATTTTCCCCCAAGTTGTTGAATTATTATCAACATAATTTGGAAAGTTAGATTTTGTTATATTAATTACATAACAGAGAACAAAATTTTAAAGCTGTCGAATAAAAGCCTTCGAAGAATTGCCTTAGCTGTCGAGTCGAAGGTAGTTGGAAGGTTTCGGCAATTTTAACAACAACAAAAAGTATTAAGATAATGTTTGACACAACCATGAGTCTGCATGCAAACTTTGATTTCTTATAAAATGTTGTTGTAAACTCAAAAATTCTTCTTCCAACGGATAAATCTGATAACTAACCATTTTGAATCGTTGTTACGAATGTATCTAATCAGCAAAATATTGATGACTAAATTATGCTTTGCTTGCGACTCTACTTAATCTATATCGAAATAGAGTAGAGCGCATGACAATATTATTGTGCATATAAAAGAGTTTGCAACAAAATTGTTGTCAAAAAACATAAATATAAAACAGAGCGATTTTAAATTATGCCACTGTTTTATTATTATCAGCCGACGCTCTATGGGTCAATAACGAGATTCTGTTACAATTTTTATGACGGTCTAATATAAATTGAATTACAATACGATAAAATAACTATATAAATTATGCATACTGCAATAGAGACGTACCCATATTTAAATGGAAAATCAAATCCGTCAAATATGTATCTTGTGCAGATATGGGAAGCGAATGTTTCAAATGTTACTTTCCTTGCGTAATTTACAAAAACGACGATACTACGTTTTCGTTTCATGAAGAACGGTCGGGGAGGGGGGACTAATTCATAATTTCCCATGCATTCCGGTTTTTGCTCCTTTGAGATTTAAATATTTGATAAAAGCGGGTTATGAGAAATTTTTTCAAAGTTGACGCAATAGTGTATAGATGTTAATGGAGAGTACATTCAAGGATGAAACAGTTTCTTATTTAAAGTATCAGTGACAAAACTTTTCAGCATCTCCACATATTGTTACATTTTCTTTATGTCATTGCGTTAACGTAGCAATCGTACAATATTTTCTCAAAACAACGAGTTATAATATGCTGTTCCCCAAGTGGATATATAAAGAGATACAGTAATAATAATCAGTTTTATTCGGTTCTTGTGACCATCGTGTTACCGTATTACAAATGAAGAAAAGTATAAGCCTTTGGAGAGATAGCCGAATTAGCAGAGCAACGAACCATTTTATAAAGAAACAATGTTTATTGTCCCTACTTTATTTTCACAAACGAAAATATCATCATTATTTTTTTCTCGTTTGGTGATTATTATCTCAATAAATTGGTTTTTTGCAACACTAACACGTAACAACCCCTGATAATTTGTGGCGTATATGAGTATTATATATGCTTATTATTTGCACCAGCCACGATATTGCCCCTGAGCCATTCTTGCTAAATGCTGACTGATCAAACTAATGCTTCGCTTCCACTGGCACCAATTAGTAAAATACTTCTAGTTTCAGTTACCTTCGTTTTTTCCTTCACTACTTTTTGGTTTAGCATCTGAAAAATTTTTGATTTTTGCGTATTCTCGTTTCAGTCCTCTCATCTCACGTATGGATTACGACCGCCAACCCAATTATCCTTACAGAAGACCAACGCGCAACGATAACTACGATGCAGCGTTAGCAGGTGTCTTTGCAAATGCACCTCCAGGAGCTGTACTATCTGACAACACTGGCGGAAGGCCGGCGAAGGGAAGAGAAAGCGGTAATGTGCACGAAAGGATTAATTCAAGGGGTGGCAACAGTAACGAGGACTGGGGAACGCAAAGAACATGGGAGAGTGACAGAGGTAAGTCGGGAAGTAAACGACACTCCATTAAACACCGCCAGCTGAATAAAAGATCTGTTTTAGGTAACAAAACCAAAACGGGTAATACCAAGGAAAACTCAAGACTTGGAGATAGTCGAGGTCCTGCTAGAGGGTAAGTGTATTATTATATTCGCGTAAATACGAGCGTGAAAAATGGATGGCGAGAATCGCGACAGTATAATGGTTACGATGAATGATTTGTCATTCAAAAAATGAGCCCCGTCAATTACAAATTGAACTATTGATATGATCAGAAAGTTACGGCATTCATTGATGGTCGGTGATATCAATCCATCTAATTCCATTTTTCCTTCTATTTCCTTTACACTCCCAGTTCTACGTCGCAGTACCAATCCAATAACACATCCTCCATAGATGTCGACCAAAAGGCGATAACAGAAAAGTTGTCTGCATGGCATTCGCTAGTAGACCCAGACGCAGAAAATGTAAAGGGTGGTATAGGCTCTGGTCAACTTCATCGTTCAGGACGAAATTATATACCAGTGTCTGAACAAGAAGTGTTAGAAATTCAGAGAAAAAACAAGAAATGGGGCGGAAAAAGTATGTTTCTTTTTTTACCTTTCATTAAACAGTAGAAATATAGGGACGGTGGGTAATGAGATTGTTCAAAGAATAGTACTTAGGGAACAACGTTCAAAGTTTGTTGGAAATATCTGCGAGCCATTATTTTTCGTAGAATCATCGCGATTCCACAACTTTGGAAGATGGTTACTTACTGACTACAACTGCCCTTACTTTCTTTATGTGAAACAAAAGAGAAAAGAGACAAAGATAAAGACAGAAAAGACAGAGAAAATGTGTCGAGAACCAGTTCACGACCAAGTCGTCACTCGACACAGTCAAAACGCTCAAAGTCGCCCACAAATCCTGGCTTAAATCGACGGAAATCAACTCCTGCTCCGGCGCAATCATCATCCCGTTATACTTCTTCCCCATTACAGCCGAAAAACCAATTTCAATACGATCAACAATTACCTCAACAGCAGCAACAACATTATCAACACCAGCAGCAACAACAGCAACAGCAACAGCAACAACGACATCAACTACAATCGTCACCGTCCTATCGCTCAAATCATGCCGGTGTTGGAGAAAAGTATGGTGGAACAAAGTCTGGATCGCTTACTAGTGGTAATGTTAATTATTATAGTTTTGTTTATGAAATATTGCAATTATAAGGATAATAATTATTGGAAGTGATGGTGGTTGGATAGAAGGTGTGAGAAGTGATAAAGGAGTAACAATGGGAAGGCAAGATAAACAGCAATTATCGCAACATGATCAAAACCACAACCACCCTTCGCAAGATGATACGACAGCTGATTCTCAATATGGGAACCAGGCACATCAATATACGCAGTTTAACCAGTACAATCAATATAACCAGTACACTCAGTATAACCAATATACTCAATACACCCAGCCAAATCAATACACTCAGCAACCATCCCATTACTCTACACACTACTCCACACACTATTCAACCAACCATTATCCTCCCCACACTATTTCTCACACCACCCGCCCAAAACGCACCCCTTCCCCATCTCCATCCCAATCCTCACTATCCTATTCTACCTCCATCGAAGACTCCTCAGAGGAATACGCCTATCGCTCTGGAACGTATAACGATTCTCTGCAAACGTCGTCACAGGAATCGGAATCAGATTCTGAAGGGCAATATGAAACGTCCGATTACGAACGGGATTACGAGCAGAATGGGTATAGACTAAGAGAACATTACCAAGTTGGCGGTTCGCGAAGTCACGGATCGGGCGCTGTTCCTTCTACCTTGCATCCTACTTACTGTGACGAAGTATCAGGACGGAAAGATGTCTTGTTGAAGATTAATATTGATGTAGGAGAGGCCGATGAATACTCGATTTATGTGTGCGTGAATGACAATCCTGCAGATTTGGCGAGAATGTTTTGCAAAAACCATGGATTCACAAATCCCCAAGTTGAGGAGGCTTTAGCGAAGTTAATTGAAGAAGAAAAGAGGAAGCGATTAGGGTGATAATTTGCCATGTGCGAATGTGTTTTATACGGAGTTTTGTTTTCGATAATATTGATTTCGTTGTTTGCGTGATTATTCGAGTGTCGGGTATTTACAGAGAATCTTGATTTTAGTGAAATTGCGACGTTATACAGTTCATGTATTTTCGTGGAGATATATACACATACATTTACATAGAAAATTAGATATAATTCTCAATTATTACAATTTTACTATGGGACTCTTTCTCTGTCCTTTTTTCTTTCCAATCAAAACTGTCTTCGTGAATAACGTGATATTGAGTTTAGCATAGACTAACAATATAAACGAATGACGGACACAATTGTCAAATATAATACTTAGATGTGTAATTGTGTAATATGTACCCAAGTGGTGGGATAACTAGAGAAACAAATAAAATGTAAAGTACATTGTGATGAGAATTCAGATAGATAAAAAAAAAAGTGCATAGATACTCCTTTGACATTAACAATATCCCTTTGTATGGTTGCACTAGTTCAAATAATACACGTGACAATAGCATTCTGAGTTGTTGTTGGTTTTTCTGGTCATTGTCCATCTATTTTGTATTCATCGAGAGAACACTTAAAAAAGATTTCAGTTCATGCACAAGTGTGTGTGTGTGTGGATAATCATCTACTCGACTCGATTTCGAGCGTAGAAGTTGTTTTTTTTTTCACTGCGGAACTATCGGAAAAACGAAAAACATTATCCAAATTGATACAAAAACCAACCGAGTAACATAACCACGATACACAAAAGTTCGGTTGAATTTTTCTCCAACTCTTTCTGAATCTCTCAATTACCTACGTGTCACTTCCTCTGCTCGTAATGTTCAGCGACTCTTGGTCTCAAATCACAGCGACAGAGGACCTTTCACCAAGTGACCCTCCAGCTTTAAGACTTCCCTCAAAAGTGGTAAAAAGCATAGCCGAATATTTAACACAGTCCGACTGTTTCAATTTCTGTCTGGTAAACAAAGGATGGTTCCCAGCTGCAAGTGAGGTCCTTTGGTCTGCTCCTTTGCTCAAGACGCCCGATTCATTTCACGCGTTCGTACGGGCTATTAATGATTCTAAAATATGTGCTCTACGAGTGCGTGTATTAGACCTATGTGCTCCGGGTGAAGAAAAGACGTCTGCTTTTGCACCTGTGCTAGAGAGTATGTGGGGTGTTCATCTAAGTATGCGCCGAACGGTGTTGGCTAAACCACAATGGATATTTAGGATTGTCAGCCAGTGCGAATATCTGCAGAGTTTGAAGATATACGGATGGAATCTTGCCGATGAACATATTGGCGGTTTACTACAATACGGATGGCTCAAGGAATTTCGTGTCATTGGGAATGCTTCATTGACTCAGAGGGCACTCAATACATTAATGAATTCCGTAACCGATCTACGTGTGCTGCACCTGGATGGAATATTCAAATTATCTGATAAATTGGCCGGGGTGATGGCTAACAAATGCCCACATTTGACATCATTAAAGCTATGTACGCAGACTATGACCTCAACAGGGTTTGACATTCTTGCTAATGGATTCACCCAATTGAAAGAACTGACCCTACAACAGTGTCCAAATCTTACTGACGCTAACGTTGCTAGATTTGTTGAAAATAGTACTAAATTACAATCACTCTTTTTGAGCGGGGATAGACTGACTATCGAGTCGTTTAAGATTATAATGTACTCGTTGGAACGATTACAGCACCTGGACTTGAGATGCTCACCAAGATATCAAGACGCCCCGCATACTAAACATCTTCTAACTCCTGTAGCACATAGACTGCGTACGTTATTGTTAGAATGTTTACCGATAGATGACGACTTGATCGACATCATAACTGCCACTTGTAAACTATTGGAGACATTTGGATTGTCTGGGTCTTCATATGCCACGGAGAAGGGAATTCAGAGTATAACTAAGCATTGCCGATATTTACGGGTGGTCGAACTACTGCATTGTAAAAAGATAAACGAAAATTGTCTTGAATACTTGGCTCAAGGGAATCGATCAATCACTCATCTTACCATCGCATCATGCGGACAGTTTTCGCACATGGCAGTACATTGGTTTGCTTCTCAATTATCAACGTCACTAAAAAGACTGTCATTCACTGACATGCCATCTATTTGTGATTCATATATTTATCATGAATTTGCCAAGGAACGTCATCATAGCCGTACATCACGCGAATGTACTATTGAGGGCGATGATCTGGTTAGGTTAGCACACGCACCTCGGCGGAATCAACCTTCTCGTCAGTCCAGACCAGGGAATTTGACTGCATCCGACATTCAAGCACTGGCGGTCGAATTAAAAGTAACAGTCGATGACGTTAACAGAGCGTTTCAAAAGGTTTTGAGTAATACACCAAGCGATACACTATCTGACGAGAACAATCGTCAAAAACGCACATCAAACGGGGATGCATTCGGCAAATTCTCACAAAACAAAGACTCAGTAAACAGACAGAATCGTTGGGAGTTTTCGATTAATAACCAAGAGACAAAAAATGAGACCCCTTATCGTCCATCCGCAGATTACCAAACGGAATATCCATCGGACGGCAGAAGGGATTCTTATCGCACTCGTGGATCGCTTTCGAGCGTAGGCAGCCAGAACGAACAGACTTATCGAATACACGACGAGCACGGTAATAAATACAACTACAGCTCACGTGAAATCCCTTCGACGTCAAAACACAACGGTTCAACTTCTTCGACAACTGGGGAACTATCCGCTCCATCATCAAGGCGAGATTCCATATCATCAATCATTAAAAAGACTCAAACTGGATGGTCAACGATCAATGTAAAATTGTTTAATTTATATGAAACAGCTGCGATTGAAGAGAACGACAAGAAATGCGAATACGTAGACGAATATTCAGGTGAATATGCAAAAGATAAAAACACACGTAAGACAGCTATCCCGTTATCATTTAGTTCACCAGCTATGCCAAATGAATCGACATCAGATTTTAGTGACTCGTCGGGAACATACAGTCCCAGGAGTACAGTTAATAAGCTTAGGTATCAGGACGAGTATGATGATATATCACGTAAGCAACCATCATACGAAGATGCAACACATAAACAATCACCATATCATCCACTAAATCATCCACTAAATCATCCACTAAATCAACCATCATTACCACAAAACCGCCCGCAACATCACTCATCTTCAACCTACTCCTCTCAGCCCCCAACACCACGTCAATCTGCACCCCACGCATCCGTATTTCGATCGTCTCAGCCCACGCAGAGACAACAACCTGCACATTCATATTCATCACGGTACAACAATTCAACAGAATCTTATCATCGGGGAGCAGAATCATCTGCATCACTACGGAAAAACTCAGATACCGACTCAGATGACGAATCTAATAGTGATGATGAGAAGCGCAGCGAAAGAGAACAATCAAGAAGAAAGTATGCCGATGTTTTATGGTATAAACTTGGGCAGAGAACAGGTTTAAACACGCGCATTGAAACCAAGCAAAATGACTCACATTCGAGCACTCGAGTCGAATCTCGCATACTATCTCAAAAAACTAATTCCCAGCAACATTCCTCATGGGAGAGCATTGGGATTTACAAAATCCGCTCTCATCAAAAACCCTCAGATGAACATGGCAACTCCCTTTACAAGAGAACTCCCGGTATGGGAAGTCGTGTTGAAATATTGGAGGACGACGGGTGGAACAATGGTGAATGGGGAGACGATGATTTTGCTGACGTTTCTTCTATCGCTGCGTGGGACGTTAGGGAAGAGGAGAAAGACACGGAGGAAGATGAGAGGAGAGGGAGAGAAGGAGAGAGAGACAATGAGAGAGATAGAAAGAAAAATAGAGAAGATGTAGATATAGGAATTAAAAAAAGAGCAAGTGAAAGTCGGCTATCTCTAGATATCGAAAGGCAAAAGGAGGTTTCAGAAGAATCGGATGGGGAATACGATAGCCACAGACGAGAATACAATAAGATAGACAAAGGCAAGGCAGTATTACGTGATGAACCCGAATCCACTAGTTATCGTACTTACAATAGGGCAAAAGACAATTTATTACGTACCCCATCACCTGATTTTCAGTTACCAATCTTATCTACGCCACTCGTTTCTTCATCGTATGCGTCAACTAGTTCCGCGACAATAAATCAGAAACCAACACGACCATCTTCATCGGCTCGATCTTCACCAACTCCTCTCGCCAACGGCACTACCGATACTGCGAACCGACGTCCTTCTACATCCACTTCTGAGTTTGAATGGCCTGTACACAATCCCGCGCCAACTACATCAAACTCGTCCCCCATCCAGACCCAACGTCAAAACACAAAAGCCAGTTACAATGACGAGTGGCCCACCCCCCGAGAAGCATCGTCAACTTCCCAAAACCAGTCTTCAAAACAAGATATAGACTTGGGTGCTTGGGGACACGTACCAGTAGATCTTGCTTCGGCTTGGGGTACATCTAAAAAATGGACAGCCGATGCAAAACCTTCTCAATCACCTCCGAAAGAACAGTTCTGGATTTCGCCAGATATTTCAAAGTTGGAGGCTGTCCCAATGCCAGAACCCAAAGTCCCGCTCTATTTCAAGCGTAAGAAGGGTGGAGGCTTTTCCTTCGAATGTGATGATACGGAGGGGTGGGGTGCGCCACCGCAAAAAGTTGTTTCTTGGCAAGATGAGTCGCAAGGTTACTGTCAGGAATTAATCGAAGAGCAGAAGCAAACAGAGTTTTGGGAGAACAGAGATGGAGTGGGTTGGGTGAAACTCACGGATACTCCACAAATAGAATCGCCGGCGCTCGAAAAAAATTCGGATGCGAACTCGTCAGACAAAACTAGTGATGATGAAAAGCCAACAAAACATAAGAAATCGGATATTAAGATAACAAGGACACCTACACGGCAAGACGATGAATCTTCCCACACAATGACGCAGGATGATATTTTGGAAGATACTCGTAAACAGCGCGAATTTTCCAGCTCAACTAAAACAACTATTATTAACAGCAGTCGCAGCCAAAGCCGTGTTGCCAGAGATGCGATACCGATACTAAGAAGCGAAGACACAGTTAGTAGTGACTCGACAATTGCAAATGTCCGAAAAGATACGTTGGGAGGAAGGATTGTGCGATTAGGTAAACCACAATGGAAAACAGAGGCAGAGTTTAGGAGAACGAAAATTTTCGATAGTATCTCGAATATCCATGAGAATGGCACGCAAAAAACTGAGAGTTTGTCAGGCACGAATGAAGATTTGAAAAAAGATTCCGTGGAGGAGAAAAGTGAGGATGTTAACGAAACAACAGAGTCAAACTCTGATTCACCCATTATGACTGATATACCGTCTCCATATATTGCTTCCGGTTTCACCGACAAAGACTTGGGGAAACCGTGTGAACAATATGAGATGGTCGACAACGAACAGAGTGAGCTAGAAGATGAGAGTAGTGTTTTGAATGGTAGCCATGTGACTAAGGATCAGCAAAAACTAGAGGATAATGAAAAGGATAATGAGACTTTCTCAACTAGTACGTTAGACTCGGAAGCGCAATCATTATCTTCTCATGGGTCACTCGTTATTGCCAGCCCAACAACGGACGCGTCCTCTGTAATTCAAACTACAGTGTCAATGTCAACTGAAGCTCCGACTAAGCCATCGATTGAGAATAAGGAGATGTATGATGCGAATCCTATAAATGGTGTCAGTAATAATGAAAGTGGCGTGAGCGAGAGCGGAAACACTGACAGTCAGGAAAAGAAGGAGGATAGAGGCAAGGATAACGAGAAGCAAGCGAGTGAGAAGATTCTCTCTGTTACTACGGAAAAATACGGAACACAAACGTTACGTCTGACGCCGGTATGAATTATTATTTACATAATTATACGAGTGTGATACGCTCATTCATTCAATACATTTCACGATCTATTAGGAACAAGATTTGGAGGAAACGATAAAGGGATTCTGTCTTGAATACGACATGCAAGGAAACGAACAGCTTCTTATAGATCACATAAAGAGGAAAGTATTAAGTAAGAAGAAGAAAAATAAGCGAGACAAGCTGGCAAATGACACGAATGTTGCGCAGCCATCATTAGAGAAGCTGTTGGCTTGAAAATTAGGACTGTGGTTTCTAGTAATAAGAAGAGAGAATTCTTTGCAAATTGTATGTGAGAATTGTTTGTCTACGTAGGCGGTAATCTTCATCAGTCGAATGTAAATAGTATTATTCGTTTCTATAAAATTATAGCATAAATTTCTGTAGATCTTATTCTTGCTGCGGGGTAGTGAAATCATTTGTAGTGATGCTAATAAATTCTGCGGCTGCAGTAATCGGTCAAGCGGAGATAAGCGGAGGAAGCATAAAAATGAAAACGTCTCGTAAAATCATAATTGGCGACTAACAAATTTCTCTTTCAATATGTATTATCAGAAGAATGCCAGTCGGCATAGTTAAGGACATCCAAGGCGTTCTATACAGTACGCTCTGTAAAATTAACCCATTTTTTGAAATTTTTACCGGCCATTTTGATTTACAGCAGGGACTTTGTAAAAATTTAAGCCCGTTACATTAAATGCAAATCAAAGCCGCACACCGTTTATTTTGTTTGTTGTTAAATCAATCTCTGCGTTTTTCTTGAGGTCGAATTAGAAGAAAATCGTTATTGTACTTGGCAACAAACATCATCATGTCGTATACGATTATTTGCTTTTGATCATACAGTGATTTTTTCTAAATGCATTTTAATGATGCCGAAAATAAAATAAAATAAACCAAGAATTACAAAACTTGGTTAGAAAGGTGTCGAGATATGAATATCTGAATTTTTATGGTCAAATCGCGAGATATCTCTAAGTAAAAACTTCGGCGGGCTGAAATTTTACAGATGTCATGCACGAAAATTTCCAAAGCGTTTACTTGTTCCTGTCTGGAGTTACGGCCCCGCCACACAGCCGCACAGCAAGCTAGGAGCGTACGGATGCTTATGCTCCCTACTGTATCTGTTGAATCGTTGATTTTTTCTTGTGCCCAACATACAACGTAAATAATGGAGTTTTGAGGGCCGTACATTACAACCAATCTCTTTACGAAGTCCTGTAAGGGAATGGGCTTCCACGTCAGCCTAAGCCGACTCTTTAAGAATATTGCGAGCACCATGTACACAGGAGTTTTGTAAAAATCGTACATATTAATTAAATATGAATTTGACAAAGATAATATTCACTGAGGCGTTTTTACAAGTTTTTGGAACAGATGACTGATTTTAAGATATGCATATTCACGGCAGTGTTTAGAAAGCATTGTTGTCAGTTCATTTTCAGAAAAAAACTTTATTTTACTGAGGCGTTGTCTAATACGAGAATGATAATTCGTTTTCTCACTGCGTAATGTTTGAACACTCGTTGAAGGCGGACACCAATTTTTACAAAGCAAGACATACCCAAATTATATACTATTTTATTTAATTTATCACGAAACAACGCATATGCTTTCGAGTTCTCGACGAGGTATTTGGTGTTTGTAGTAAGCGTTTGTCTGTCCTGAGGCGTTGTTAACAATATCAAAACTTTAGTTTTATTCCTTTCTCCATACCGAGCCTACAATTGATTAACACCGCCAGTTTCGTCCGCATTATATACTGTACGCGTTCAATCCTTTCTCTTCGTCACCAAATAATTTTCACATGGCTTACTACCGGCTTCTCCATGCTTGCGAACAAACATTTAAGAACGTATTAGCTCACAATGGATAACAATTGCTTACGTCGTCAAAGCGCCGAGTTTGAAGAAACACATGTTCTTTGGGTTGGATGGAGGCCAAATCAATCAATAGTAAGATCAAATTAACCAAACAACCAAGGTTTTGTACATGTATACTATAAATAATATAAATACAATATTTGACATTATAAACTTTCTTATTTCGCAAAATTAAGTCTGACCCAGCAACTTTATTATAACGACTTTTGCCTGTATAATCTTTAGCTAATTCTGGTCGAGTATTCGTTTTTTCTTTAACCAACAGCCCCTACTAGTATTTGTATCTGGTAGTGAATAAAATATTAATCAGTCACGTGTAACTCATGCTAATATTTGTATAAATGCTCGTTCCCAAGTTGGATAATGAATAAACTCGTTGGGTTTTCCGATCGATTATAAATTAATGTCTAATACTAACGTGATATACTATAATAATAACTAATTCGTATTAAAGTTAGAATTCATTACAATGGATAACGTTGTTGTACGACGAGAGTAATCTAAAACAAGTTAGTACAAATACGAATAAGTGTAAAACTGTTTATCACTTTTTAGACATCCGATAATCTCTTCAATGCATCAATGCAGTGGGACACCAGCACATCCTCTATTGTCTTTGCTGACGATACCACCAGTGCCCTGCGGGATACCTCAATCAGAAATACACAATCTCTACGCCACCCACTTCAATAATATAGCAAACGTCCTCTTAGTTAATACTTACTTATACCTGCCTAACGATGAAGTATATTCCATAGTGGAGGTTGAATTCTATCTTCGAGACACCGCTTCCAATCATGCTGATCCTTACACTCACGGAGATGTGCATCAACTCACGTGCGGGGAATGGTACTTCCATCGCGTTGGGAAGAATGGGTATCGAGGTGGAACACGTAAAGGTGTGGACCTCACGTTCGGATCTATTAAGAGGAATATTTACGGTGGAATATTGATTCGCAGCATTAAGAATGAACGAAGCGGTGACGTAATCGAAGGCCCTAGTCTCGTTGTTGACCAAATCTTAAAAGCCTGTGGAGTCAATACGAACGGAGGAATTCGCAAGTTGGTCGAAACGATTTGGTCTTTTAAAAAAGGTGCATTGAAGGACATGGAAAACTCCAACAATATGGTCTACCTCGAGTTAAAATCTTCAATCAATAATACGATTACCGCCGATAAAGTTGGCATATTACCCGCAACAAAGAAGAGAAAGTTGGGTGAAAGCGGAAGCGAGAGACAACAGAATATTAGTGATGGTAAAAATCCCGCCGAACAATATCTATCCGTTTATAACTCTCCGCGCGTGGGACTTACCTTGACAGATAAACAAGAGATAGCCTATCTGTTTAAGCCATACAGATACTTTACTCAACCATTTTTGTTAAAAAAAGGACGCGGTCAATTGATTGCTGGCCTTATGGCTACCGTGCGTGACTGTCAGGAAATAGCAAAAATAGCCGGATTAGCTGTTTCCACTGTATCGTCGTATTATTCTGATTATGCAGCAGGAAAAGAATCTTGTAATATTGCTGAATTTGTTGGGCAACGCCTGAATACAGTAATGTTTGTTCGCATGGCGGGCGCAGTCGATTCAATGAAATAAAGCGCGTGATTGGCAGATCGTATCACATCCGTACAAGTTTCCAAGAATAGAGATTACACATCTCTTATCTGGAAAAATCAAAGGCAATCACGTCTGATATATATATATTTGTATACAAGGTCACTATCGAGAGACAAATTTTAAATTACAACCTTACTATTGTTATAGTCTACTTGTCCACGCTCTTCGGAGTATACAAAAGAATTATGCATACTCAAGTAAACAACGAGGAACTGGCTGACAGAGGACATGGGAGGAATTTGGACATACCTCAATGCTTCTGTCAATTAGACGCCTCGTTCGCATACTCCGAAGAGTTTGGTCTACTTTACGAATGTCACTGGATGCATCACAAGGTTGAAGACGGTAAAAGTGAAGAACCGAGCGAAGAACGAACTGATGATAATGACGCTAAAAGCACAGAACAAGTACCAGAGAACGAGGTACAATCATAAATACCTCATTGCTATTTCTCAGTTCCGATTTTTAACAGGCTCTTCTATTTCTGAATTTCGTTACCGTTAGTCTCTAATAACAGGGAACGAGAGTTCTGATATAAACACTAAATCAAGCAAAAGCGATTACGTTTGTGGTTTCCATGTTCACAAAGATGCCTGGGATAGTTTCTTGGCAGGCGAAATTGATCCCAGACATCCTGAGCTCAGTGTATGCCCATACTTCAACTATACCTTCTGCGTATTCTTTGAAGAGAGAAACACCTACAAACTTGCTTTTCCGCCAACACCGAAATGTCACTGTGGATTTCCTGTTACGATTCGATATTCTCATACTCATTTTAAGTATATGTTTGGTTGCGAATTTTATCCAATCGACGGGGCAAAACCGAAATGTGATTGGCATGCCTGGGCAATATCTGTAGCGTTTCCGAAACCCGTAGATAGTATTCATCCATTGACAAACCAGATTCCGGCCAATGTATTAGAATCAATAAACGCTGAACATAGCTCTTTCGATGAACGTTTCACCAGGAAGACAGAATTAATTGACGAGACATACAATATAGATCAGATTGAGAATCATACGTCAGTGAGAGAAGGAGGGCTACCGGAAAAAATGCGTAATAACGGAAGAACAATTTCATATCGCCTAGATTCACGTCGCGATCCTCCACGAAAGCTGTATAACGGTTACAGTAAGTCGGATCGACATTCCAATATCAATGGCTTCGCTGGGAAGCGTTCCAGATCTAATAGCGGTTTCGATCACTCTTACACAAGAGAAAAACATGGTGGCTTTAAATTTACTAGCCGCGGATATTCTAATTTTAATAATTCGACTAAGCAATCACAGCCTTCCACGAAGATCTCTGATATGTCTCAAACTATGGGTGAAGCCGGATGGGGTCAGCAGAATCGGCGGTGTTTAGAAACTGGGTTGGACGCCGGGATATTATGGGGTAACGGAATACAAAATCCAAATAGATCAAACACAAATGATGCGAATCACAACACACAACCCGGTAGCAATTCTATGCGACATCCTCACAAAGAAGAACAACCTAGAAAGAAGTGTCCAGATGATGATGCAATGGAAGATGAAGCCATAGAATTCCGTAGGAAAGCGATGGTATCTCAAGGCACCTGCCGAAATCATAAGGATTCGATAGAGGATGACCAACACCAACAGAACACAAGAGGTAACCCCAATGTCCGTCATGGGTATGAACGAGATACATTCTTTGATTCAATATTTACGGAAAAGCCTCGTCCTGATGCGCATGCATTTGAATGTCCTGCGAACACTTATACCAAGGTTAAACCGCTCAGGATCTCAATCCCGTTGTCATCGACATCAAGCACACCAAACTCTGCATCAAATACGACTTATTCGAATTTGAGATATTATTGCGTGATGAACCAGTTTTCACAAACGCGTCCTTGTTTTATTTACGAGCAGTCTAACGTTATTTCGAGTGCAGCTATGGACCGTCAACATCAGCAAATGCGTGATTTAGACGATGAGATTAAGTTTTTAGAAAATAAAATATCAAGCATGAAGACCGAGAGCGTGCGGCAGAAAAGAATGCAAGAGAACGAAATGGATAGGGAGATAAATTTACGACAATCATGCCAGAGGAAAATTATTGAATTAGGCGACATAGTGGCAGGGCAAAAAGCGAAGATACAAGAGTTATTAAAGAAGATGGAGAGCGATAAAAAGGAAAAAGCAACGGCGAGTATGAAGTGTCGCGTGTGTTTTGAAGAGACTATAACGCATGCCGTTGTACCATGTTATCATTTAGTCATGTGTGCTAGATGTGTGCATGCTGTGGAAAGATGCTGCGTATGTAGAAGGGAAAAAGAAGATGTTGTGAGAATTTACTTTGGATAGAAAAGGAGCTATTTTAATATAAATAGGGCTGGGCGGGCCACAATAACTTTATAAATATTGCGTTACTTAATGCTTTGCTTTGACTTCAAAAATTTGACCTTGTGTCGATTGATTTAATAAAAGTTGAGAACAACTGCTTCACTATTGATCGAATGACCACTTTAATACATGACTGGAGGGTATCGTACCATTCGTAAGGAAATATCTGTAATTTTAACGGCTGCCGATTGAACACTCACGACATCACATGCAGAGCAATTGGGTCCCGTGTTATAGTTTCTTATTGACCCAAGAGGACGACCACGGAAAGAGAGGAAAGCGATACTATAAATGAGGGTGAAAGCGAATTTTTTGATTCCGAAAACCTTGCTGATTAGTTTTGGAGCCAATCGAAGAAGCTTTGACGTTCCCAATGACTTGAATACTGTATAATATCCGGTTATAGACGCTGAATTACCCCGTACCTGTCTTCGTATAGTCTTGTTGCGGTCAATATCATGTTTTATAATGTCAAGTTCACCTTGTACCATCTAATAGAGATATGTCCGTTTACTGTAAAAGTTATGGTACAGGGATTGTTGAGCATAACGCGTTGATCAATCCAAGATAGCGAGACGTGGCACTTTTCCGCATCTTGATTCATTACAATCGACTGAGAGAATTCGACGTGATTATTGCAGTCTTGATTTACATTAACTGATATAAGTTCAGACATTTACCATCTGCCATTTGAATTATCAATGAATTGGGAAAATATTAATGTCAATGTGTGTTATTACTTTTGTAACGCGTTTTTCGTTGCTTAGATTTGGTAGCGGACACCCTACTATGATATGTCATTGTGACTATATCCATTAGCTAAGCAGTTACAATGTTTAATGAATAGTCACTAAATTCATGTAATAATGAGAAAGAAGAATAATATTAACACGAAATTTCCAAGTAATGTTGACATTAGTCAGCATTGAATTGTCATATTCAGTCTTTTAGTTCAAATTTAACAAACCCCTAATTCGATTTTTCATTTTTCATTCCACAAAGTGTGCTACTCGCAGTATTAATACAGTCAACTAACTCACACAGCGACCCCCCCAAAATTCCGCCGCTGATCTGTAGATCATTTCCAGAAATTGCCTTGCGGAATTGCCGACCCCTCGTTACTATTTTTGGAAGCGGAATACGGACAATTTTCTTATACGTAACTGCAAGTCATGTGATGAGTTAAAAACTACATAGCTTCTCAAACTATGCATAGCTAATCTCATTCTTTATTTATTTTAAAAACATTGTCCACGGTTTAGAATCTTTCCATGTTCTAGCTCGCTTACGTTTTTCTCTTGCTTCCTGGATGTCACCCATAATATCATTAATCCGTTTTGTACTATTTAGTAACGCTTGGACATGCTGATAATTTTTCTGTTCAAATTCTGCCGTTAAATGATCTAAAAATTCTTTTCGCGTTTGGATCTCGTGCCGTAGCTGCTCAACGTCGATCTCGGGAGATTCAGAAACTGTGGCATTGTCAATGGGTTCTTGCAAGTGAACCGAATCTATATCATTTTCATTGGTTACTTGCTCTAATCGAAGCATATCATTAGTCTCTTGGTCCGATTCTCTATGATCGTCTTTTACAAAACTAATAAATGGCCGTTCCCTGCCTCTTCTGATTTCATTGTAGATTAACCGTTTGGAACACCCGCCAGCAGCAATTACCAAATGTTTACACAGCAGAAATCGGCTTTGCAGAAAATTGGGACAACTACATACCCATGAAGCATCTGATGTATAATAGTTTTCCCCATTGTGGAAAAGTGTCTTTGTCCTGCCTATTTCCATTCCCTTTTAAATTCTTCCCACCAATGTGGGTATTGACGGCCGTTTAGTAATTGTAGAAGCCGATTCTCCTGCTGCGGAAGAAGATGTTTGCATATAATATAGATTACATGATCCAAACGCGGTCGGTTGAAGCGATACAGGTAATCACGTTTTAGGACTTTCCAATGTGCTTCGATCATCATCGTCGTTTTGCTGAAAGGTATTTGTGGGTGACATGAACGAGCCCACTTACCTTCAGAATACCAACATGAAAATAGGTAAAACCATAATGCTGAAAGATTATTTAATCTGCAAAAATCATAGACTTCTTTTGTTGAATTGTAGTGAATTTGATCAGGTGTCAAAGAACCACCACTCACATCAATTGGTATTAATGGATGCAGATTAAAATGTCTTTCTATCAGAGTTACAACTGACTTGTGTAAGGATACGGGACAAAATAATGATGTGCTTCCAGGTATCGGTCGAAACGTTGGATCGATAAAAGGGAATCGTTTAAGGTCACTTTCTTTAATATATGCAAACCTTTGCTGTTCCTTTTTGCTTCGTAACCGAGTTAGAATGGCTCTTTTTATGTGCCATAAACACAGCCGTGTTTGTGAGTGTCTCCACACTAATTGTGCAGCATTGATTTCAGCAAAGTCTTTATCGGTAAAAATAAATTTTGGTATTAGGCTTCGATTCCTAAGCGCCTGGAAGAATTCTATGAGTAATTGTGTCCGAATGGACTCATTATTACCCGAATGTCTACTCGTATCCATTAAACAGTACGCAAGAGGAAATCCACTTCCATTGATTTCTCCGACGACGCCATATAATTCGAAGCGACCTTTAGCTGTTTTGTAAGTCGCGTCCACATGGGCTTCTTCAATTTGTTGGGCATACTTTAGAATCGGTGTTGAGAAAGCAATGGCAACAATATCTGAGGTATTTTAAGTTCACAGTTTTGGCTTCGATACACATTTTTTAGAAGATAGATTGCTGATTTTACTGGATCATCGTCGAATTTATAAGCTGACTGAGTGCTTGAACTCCAACAATAGTAAATCTGTTTCGGTGTAATATCTGATAAGTCAAATTTTTTGGTAAGATATTTTCGCAGTTGTAATGGTTCTAAATGTATATTTTGCCGTATCTCCATGCAGACGTTTTCAGGAAAACTATGTGAGTTTTTTGGACGTTTATGCAAATAATTATGTGTTAACATAATGCATGCATAACCGTTTAGCAAGTCTATGCGTATTTGTAACTGGCCTTCACATTTAAAGCGCATAATTCGTTTTCGATTGGACTGTTTGTAGTCCGCCAGACATTCACTCTGCGAGCAAAGATAATGAACCGTAGACATTTTGTTTCTTTCTTTTGTGGATTTATTTTCTTTCCAAAAACTTAAATAAATATAATATTGACATTTTATTTGACGGAAATATATAAATCGCATTCGCCTACTAATACTTACTTCCATTTATAACCATCTTCTCTTTCAACATCAATTCGAAATTTTTAGCGACGTCTTTTGGATTTAAGAATTCGTCAATTTCGAGCTTTATCTGACATGAAATTTCGATGCGTTCGTTATCGACAATTACATCATTGTCAAAGCATTCAAAATGACTTCGTAAAAATCGAGGAAATTCTGCTTCCGTTAAAGTTATAAGATGTTCCTCATTGATATTTGGGCCGCCTGTGAGTGTTGGATTTATTTGTCTCTCGGTTGGATTATTTAGAGTGTCCGAGGACAGAGTTTCTGATCTTTTATTATTTTTTGAACTTT